CCAGTCAGTGAACTGTAATGTGTGATAGTAGCTCCACCCTAACCATTGCCACACATCTGTCACCTACAGTTGAGCTTAAATTTTGTCAATTAACCTATCAGATGCTTACAAAGTCATGACGTCATCATCTGGTCATTCCTAACATGTTTGAATGGACATTTCTTTGCACTTTAAATTTAAAGATAAACTCACATTCTTCTGTCATTCAGGAAATAGAACAAAAACAGTTCATGCTAAATGACTCAAAACAGAAAAGGTTTAGTCTGATTTAATATCAAACACTGAGGAAAAAATCATGTGTTTTCCATCAATGTTAATATTTGGTTTCAGCTGTTTATTATAGATCCAGAACTGGAACTGCTAGTGAGAATCCGTCATAAATTATGGAGTTGAGGCAAAAAAGAAAAGCATATTCAAGAGATTAGATAAACCTTAGTGTCAAAAGAGGAAGTAGAATTGAGACATGAACCTATCCACCCTTTCTTGATGGAGGTGGGATGTGTAGGCAGGAGCTGGCGCTGGTGTCACTGCTCTGTGTTCTTTGTGGCTGTGGAGGAGGAGGAGTTGGAGGGACGGGATTCAGAGTCCTGCGGTGGGAGGTTTAGTGCACCGAGTGGGCAGCAGCTCCAGCATCTGCTCCCTCTTAGCGGCAACCACACTGTGTGTTATTGTTCCCGACAGAGACCAAAAAAGTCACGGGGGGAGGCCGAGACGGGTGGAGGAGGAGAGAAGGAAGAACAGATAGCGGAGAATGACACATGAGCTACGAGAAGTTAAAAAATAAAGACAGAAAGAGCGATGCGTAAATCTGATCGGGTCGGGTTTTAACAGCTGAAAACCGAGGCGGAGTGTGAAGGCATATGTCACCCCAATGAGAGGGAAGGGAGACCCGAAAAGGGGGGAAGCCTCATAAAAGCATCATTAGGGAGTAGGTTGTACCTCCAGGCATACTCGTCCAATGACTCACACCGACGGGTTGTTAGGGAGGAAGAAGAGTTCAGGGCCACAAGATGGGTGTTTGGGATGAACACAAGGTGAGAAACTGATAAATAAAACAGTCCATCACGCTATTTCTTATCTTTCAGTAGGGGCGTAAAACTTTATCCACAATGCAGCCACTAAATAAAATAAACCATTGACTAAATCCAATGGTCAATGGTTCACTTTCATTGAAAACCCCTGGAGGTGAGAGAGTAAACCTCAGAAAGTACTGAGCTGCATCCCTGAATACTATAGAAATATGCTTTACTCTCCCTCAGTAGGGAAATTCAGGTGTACCAAGAGCATCTATATCCATGTAAATATAAAAGCAAAAAAAGAGACTGAGGCTAAATTTACAACAGAAGAAGAAAATGCCATAGTTATTAAAAGTAATCTGCTCAGATTCAAAGAAATGGGCAACAGAGTAGGATCAGTTAAAACATGTGCAAACTGTGAATGCATATCTGCATACAAATCAACATATTTACAAGAAATGGACAAACTATGGGAAACAGCAGGGATGCAAACATATAAGTGGATGTTATAAAGGAAGCAGTAAGAGCACAAAAGAGTGATGTGCACCCAGGACGGAGCAATCTGCATGCATAGAATATTAACATTATCTAACATTTTATGAAGATGTTAGAATCTTTCTTTATAATTTTTGTTTCTTCGGGCCATGATCCAGAATTCGCTTGAGTGACAAAATATTCCATAATTTGTTTTAACTTTGACATAAATGGAGTCAAAAACACCCAAGAACATTTACCCAAAAGGAGACTGACATTAATCCATTCAGTGAACTTGTCTCAACAATGTTTTTGAAGAAAGGTCGACTAATAGAAAGAAGAAAGTCTTTTCTGTCCTTGTGAACTTGGATGGGGAGTTGGTGTCCATCTCCACAGATCACAAACTAAAGAATCAACCCAAGCAAAATAGGACATTCTTTTGACTTGCAGATCTTCTTTCATCTGAAACACTTTGTTTCTTTCATTAATGCATTCTGTTTAGTTGATCATTAAGCTGTTGAAAGCAATTGATGTTGCCATTAAATTAGTCCTGAGTGATTAGCTTTCAGCTGGAGGATTCTGGACCGGTTCGGTCTCGGTGCTGTTGCAAAATGACATCACCTCTGGCAGCTTTCAAACAAAATGAGCTGAGAATCTAAAAGTGGCGATGAAATAAGAGAATAAATTGATGTTTTTATCAACAGTAAACAGAATCGTTCTGTTAATATTTACAGAACAGAAACTTTTCTGCAGCCAAAATACTGAACTGCTGATTTCTGATGCCCTCATACACAATGTGTTAGCAACTTGATCCACAACTGTATCCATTATAAGACGACTTTCACTATTTTATTTTGAATATATATGGACGTAATGTTAAGTATTTTTATTTGTAACCGTTAAAATTTGGACAAATACTGAAATATCTAGTATCTACCAGTAGGTGGCAACACTGTTGGCATTTGAATGTGTAAGATACCTTAGAAACAGCTGCACTGGTGGGATTTCTAGCACAGAAAGTGAAGTTGGGATGGCGTGACGTCTGCTGCAACATCACTGCTTCTGGAAACTGTTTATCAAGTCAGGATTCAGATCATTTTACCCTTTCACCATCTTGTGTTTGCACACCTTCAGGTATTTTGTTCTAAATTTTTAGAAGGAACTATTAACCATCCATCACAGGACAAACAACCATGGGTTCACACACTCCCACAGTCATTTCTATGGACTGTGGAAGGAAGCTGGAGTACCTAGAAACATACAATGCATGCAGAAAGACCCCAACCTTGGATTCGAACCAGAAACTCCTTGTTGCAAGATATGAGGTCAGCTAGAGCTGTTCTGGTTTGATCAAAAGGTCATGAGCTGCATTGTTTTGTCTTAATTAATTTGGAAGTTGCCAAAAGCATCTGCTTGCTGCATAAACATAAACATGATCTCAATAAGTGTCAACTGGCCTAAATGAGATCAGCACCAAACAATCTGAGAAGGGCTGCAGTTGTTGGCAGTCGACGTGTTTCCATTACAAATGTGTGCAAAACTTTGTCAATATTTCGCTAATGTCCAAAAAACACAATTTTTATGTTTTCATGAAATAAGAAACGTGACTAAAATCGCACGATAATAAGTTTGTTCTTGTGATAACTCAGTAGAAATTATAACGGCTATCGTTGTCTTCTTCTTTATGGTTTGCACCAGTGGCAACATCTGCTTGTTGGTCATGTGACTCGTGTGATGTGAAAGTGTTTCCATTGCTCATCCCCGCACCAAAAGTTTTTTTTTTCAAAACTGGCATGCTTCCATCAGGCAAATTTCTCTACACAGGCCTTGGCTGTGAGTGTGCACAATAGTTTCTCAATTTTCATCTTTTTCAGTTTAGTATTGAGCAAACAACTTGTGTGTAATGAAGTGTCTCAAGATACTTTTTGTAATGGAGCTTCTCTGAAGGTTAAATTGTAAATGTGCCTTCATTTGACCCTCTCAGGCTGCTGTCTGTCAGTGGGGTTATACGGGTTGTGCCATTTGGCTGAACTCCGAACTAAATCATCTATTAACAGTCATTCCCACCTTTGGCCACTTGTGTTTGTCCTTTTGGGATTTCTCGCACATATCTGACATGTTGGTAACATGTTACTGTGCACGAGTATGAGGAATGTGGGAATGGTTTTGGCTGCGGTGATTTGCTGACAGCCCTCTGTGTACACAGGGCCGATGATAGAACGAGAATTATAAAGATATAAAAATGTCTGAGCGAGGGATACAGAGAGGATTTTAGCTTACACCTGTGAGTTCAGAAGTTCATCTGTGGATTGTGCTGAAACTGTGCAACAGGCTCCGAATGCCGTGCAACCCTGTGCTCAGAGTTTCACAGATATACAGATACAGAAGTGGAGTTAATTAGCAGCAGCTGATGGAGCCTCGTGCTGCTGAAACCTCATCCAGCGCTAGCTAACGAAAGCAGTCTTCCAACTCAACCGGTTTTAGAAAGTATAGTCATCTTTTCTCACTGAAGAGGCAGAACAATAAAATGCTTTTGTAAAACCTCAGGTGCAGAAAATGTCTTTATAAAAATCAACAGTCAAAATAACAGGAAATACAAATCTGGAATGGCCTTTGACCCTTTTCTTGAAGCTCAATGTATTCCTCTGAAACTCCATGAGGTAGATCAACACAAGGTAACAGATAATTACAAAGGCAAATCAAAAATGCGGCAATAAAAAAAATACATCAAAGTAAAAATCTGAAAGGTGTGGCATGCATTTGTATTCAGCCCCTCTGATGCCCCTAAATAAAATCCAGACACAAGAAATGAGAAGGTGCTGCGATAAGAGACCAAGCTTCAATTCTTTGGCCAAAAATATGTTCTGTCGAAAGTATCGCACCATTCCCATGGTGGAACATGGTGTTGGCAGCATCATGCTGTGGAGATGTAAACTAAAAAAAACTGCATAGCACTTGAGCGTGGAGCAGACGTTTCCCTTCCGCTAGGACTAGAAAATAAAAATAAAGCCAAAGCTACGATGGCAAGATTTAAAACAAAGCATATTAAGTTAAAATGGCCTAGTCAAAGCCTAGATCTAAATTTGTGTTGGTGTGTAGCATAAGATTGAAATAAAATGCATTGGAATTTGTGGTTGGAACACGACGAAATGTGGAAAAGTGGTTAGGGTGAAAATAATGTTTAAAAATATCTGAATATGTGAAAGAAAACATTAGAAAAATGTTTTATTTCTTCCCTTAATTGACGTCTTCCATGGGGTCATGCAGACACAGCGGATCGGAGCTCCTTTTATGGTTTTGTTGTTTTTATCAGATCATCTACATTTCTTTTATGTTTCATCAAATTTCTGGCACAATGACAATAAACAAATTCTGATTAGTATTTTTTTTTTATTGTAAACAGGAAACGAGGAAAAAACCAAACTCCTGCTGTACATCCTGCGCACACTGACCCGACTCGACATCCGACCAAACTTAAAAAAGGAGATATTACAATAAAATTAGACTTACCATAAATCTGAGGGTCCTGGCATGAGCTTTTTCTTTCCACAGAAATATGGTTCAAAATCTTGTGTCTTGAGCCTGTGGGCGTAGTCTATATATCCAGATACCTCCTGTCCAAGAGTATTATAATCCCTTATGAAAATGACCGACTGTAAAAGAGGAGAGAAAAAAGAAAGGAGAGCCTCTGTGTAAATCATCATGACCATTAAACCTTTTTTCTGGGGAAAGACCAGTAAGGACAAATGTCGGGTTTTTGGACAGATGAAAGGCATCTGGCAGGAATAGACCAATCTTCAAATACAAAGGGTCTTGTTAAATTTTGACACATGTTGAGGATAAAAATGACTCAAACTGATGTCGTCCTGGAGAAGCGGTGGAGAGGTGGGCCGTCTGCAGAATATCCTGCTTAGATAAGAGCGTGGGACTCCTCAGGGCCCGAATCTTTTAACTTACAGTAACTGGAGTGTGATTTCCGTTCCAACACTCCCACAGTCAGAGCAGGAAAGTCTCTTTAAATGCCTTGAAATGTGAAGTTTAGATATAAAAGTTCTCGTGCAAACACCGGACGTGACCAGACCTTTTTATTCATGGGCGTCTCAAGTTGTCTGGTTATTGCCTTTATTTGAATTATGTTGAAGATGGGATGTTTTTCAGCTTTTTATACTTAGCCTGAACAAATTGGTTAGCTCAACAACATTCATACACTGCAGGCCTCTTTAGGTAGATTGAGTTACCTGTACTTCTAAGAGTATGCACTGTTTTTAGGTGGAAGGCAAATTGCTATTCTAATTTTGCGTGTTTTTAAATCACAGCAAACAAAAAAAGCTGCATTTTAATGAAAAATAACAGCAAGTTTAAAAGAGATGATGACACTCCCATATTGTTCTCTTACTGCTGTAACACACAGTTAAATTGAACAGATTTGAACTGAACTTAAAGGTTAGGTTGTTCATTATCCTTTCTGTACAAAATCATTGTTGAATAAGGAGATTTTGGTCTGGTTAGTTATGCCTGACTTCAGATCTGTTCAAAATCCCAACTTGTCTTTTCCAGCAGCCATTGCACAGCGTAAGGCGGTAAAACCAGCTGACCACGATTGCTGGAGCTCCACTTGGGTTGCTCGGTAATGGCGCAGCGCCCTTTGGTTGTGATTTAACAATCAGCTCATTTTCCAGGCATCAAAAAATATGAACTTATGGCCATAACATGAGCTGGTATTGAACTGAATTTGGAGAAATTGTCAAATGTACTTGACCTGTTTCTTACATTTGTTGTAATTTGATAATGTATAAATAAAATGAATTGAAATTAAAAGAGCTTAGGGCTGAACACACATATTCTGTCTTTTCATGTTTTTGCAGCAGACCTTTAATGTTATGGAATATAAAAGAAAAATATCACCCAAGATTATGCTTGAGCTTTGCAGGCAGTGCTGGTGACAGACCAAACACACAAATCAGATGTAGAGACAATGAGTGCAGCAGGGGAAGCAGGTCTGGGTTCTTCAATGTAAGCATATCCTCACTATAAAAACAATTTTTCCAGCTGCTTATCGGTGAGAGCCTCTTTAAAGTCGCGTTTAAACAACCAGTGGAAGAAAAGGATGAGAAATGACTTTATCACTGGATTCAGACAAAGAGATCTGGAGCAAAGTCGTTAAAAACCAACCTGGGTAAAAGCTGAACATGAATTGATCTTTTTATGTTGACTTGATAGTGCAGATAACTTCTGATGACAAAGGACGGGAAGAACTCCCAACAAAGAATGGACTCAGGTGTGAAGAGGTTGTTTTGTCTGCCTGTTCCCACAAAGAAAAGATGTTTTTCTTTCTTTTCTGACTCCTTTTGTGTTTGACATGTCTTGTTTGCTCTGAGCATGAGTAAGTCAAGCTTTTCTGCTTACAGTAACACCTCCTTGCAGGATACCTCAGAGTACGGTATCCCATTTGTGTGCCTGTCAGGACCTGGGCCCTCTCTGCAGGGCAGGGGCTGCAGAGCTCAGAGGAAAAAACACATCTTTCATGTTTCCATGGAGCACATTTATTTTTGCAATTCCAGTATGCGCAGATATATGGTCAATGGAAATAAATGCACCTATGGATAAACATATTAATAATTTTGTTTCAGTGTACATGCAGAGCACGGCTCACTTCTTTCAAATATGGAGAGTTTAGAATAAACATATCACGCTCTGATTTGCTGCTAAACAAGCGAGTTTCCAGGATCCTTGTTGAAGGAAGCTGGGGAACCTCCACTTTACGCCATGGAAAACAAACAGAGGCTTTACATCACCTGTCAACAATTGTGAAGAACAGGTGCGGTGACCTCACAGGGCAGTGAGGGAGAGGCCCCGCTTTACGGCAAACATCAGTCTGGTTAATAGTGGAGACGCTGAGAGCTGCTCAGCCCCCAGCTAGAGATACTGGCTCATTGTTTTACTCTGTTTGCCCCTCTTTGAAATCCTCGTCATGTGTGTCCTTTAGAAACTTCACTGGTGACCTTAGGTAGAAGGTTACATAAACTAATAAGCAGACTTGGAGAATCCTTTAATCTGCAATTCAACACAACAAAAGCATTTCAAGGCCCAGCAGCCACTGCTCTCTTATAAAGTCTCAAAAAATCGCCGAACATGTTTGTGTTCAGAAACGAGCAGTTAAACTGAACCCGGCTGACACGAATCGAGCTCCGATAAATAACCCTCTGCCTCTTTCTGCTCAGATGTGAATTACTCCACCGACCAATCTTTCAAAGCCTGAAAGAGATGGATTTACAAATCTGTCTCAAACAGAAGCTGACGGGGGCTGACACGTACTGTGCCCCGTCTTTGTGCTTTTGACAATGTCCTACAGGTGGGAAGACAATGGCTGGACCACCTGACATCCTGTGGCATCTGTGTGTGTGTGTGTGTGACTGTACACACAAGCAGAAACCTAAACAAAGCTCGCAAGCCACGGGACGGGGTAATGAACTCTGCAGAAACACACAAACAGTCAGCTGTCGGTAACGTCTGTGGATGTCTGTCGCCTTTGTTTTCTCAGAGAGTCCTGTTGACGTTTTCTCAGCCGATGTGCTCGTCCTTTCAACATGTTGAGTGCAGCCGGTTCAACGTGCTGAAAGGACGTCGGGGCTCTCAGTGAGCGAGATTATTCTGCAGCTAAACTGTTCCTAATGCACAAACCCAATAGGATCGTGTGTCTTTTTTTTTTATCAGATGAGCTTATTCATTAACTTGGTCATTTATTTTTGTTATTTTTGTTGTGAGCTGTAAAGTGCATTAATCTTATGATATTCAATAATAAGGAATGCACTGATAAAGCCTAATTCTGGCACTAGGATCAAATTCACTGAGGGACTCCATTGTTCATAATGATTCTCGCTAATTTGTTTCATTTAATGGCAAGAAGTTTAAAAATGTTACATCCTGACTTGCTTTATTAGCTGCATTAACTTTCTTTTGTCAGTAAAGCAAAAATAATGTGACATGTTGAATGGAAACCTTTCAGCCAAAGGTTACATACAGAAACATACAGTTTTCTCCCATGACCCCTGAACTCCACAGGCTTAATTCACCAAATTACTTCACAACTGGCTTACTGTTGGGCTTCGATTTTTACTTTCCATTTCGCTCTCTTGTTTACATTTAGGCACCAAAACAACTTGATTGGAGGCACAAAAGATTATTCATCAAATCGAAGAAATGTGTATTTTAATCACTGAATCCCAGCCAGAATCCCACAGACTAGAGAAACATCAAATGAAAAAAAACGGCACAATTTTCTTCCAGTAAGCTGGTTAATGATCATGTACTGAAGAACTCAAAACTGGTGGTAAACAAATCAAGATGGTTTCAACACTGACCGTCTGTGCTTTACCCTTCCCCCATGTTGGCGCTCTGACACGAACCTATCTGCCAGCTTGTTCCTCTTGTTCCTCATCCCACAGCCCACCTCTGCCCACACCAGCTCCCTCAGGCCCCGGGAACAATCCTGCAGTGTCAGGGAGCCGTGCAGGTGTCTTGCGGCGTCAGCTGCCACACTGTTTATTATTGGTGGTCTGAGCCTTCGGAGGAATCCCAGGCCATCACTAACAACTGTGTAAATTTGTTAGGGTAAGGAAAACATGGCCTGCAGTACAGAAACGGTTTTAGTTGGGAACTCGTTTTCTGGGTAGCTTTCCTCTTTCTTGATATTTGCTGATGACTGAGTGCATGTGCTGTGGAGAGATTGGGGTGGGTTTTGGGAGTGGGATGAGGGGTGGGAGGTTTGCTTATTTGACTTGGAAGTGACTTCACACGGCCAGCTTGTGAAATAGATGCAATGGTGGAAACCATATGTGCTGAGGTGACTTGCATCAGTGGGGATCTACCCAAATTACACTTCCTGCAGGATACGCTATCCAGAGCCAGAGCTCACGAACTCACAGGTTTGTTACCAGTGGAGCATTGCTGTTAGCCTGTCTTATATTTATTTAATCTTATGTAAAGGCTTTAACACATATTACAGTGAAAATCTTTATTAATTTTCTTTAGATCTAATTCTGTGACAATCTATGAAATGTATATGTAATATGGTTTCCATCCATCCCAGTGAAGCATTTTTATACAAAACTCTAATTTCATAATAATGCACTTGATGCTTTTTTTTCTGCCTTACAGATTTCTTCTACTTTTGATTTTTTTTTGTCATCACCTTTCAGCTCGTTTAAAACATTTCATTATCACGTTAAGATAAACTACAAAAAACAGTTTTCATATCAAGATTCATGAAAGGAAAAAAGTTGCCGATAGGAACCGGGCCCTGAAAAGGTAATGACCCGCCGTCAGCAGTAACGACCACCAGCAATTCTTTGCAGAATTGTTTTAATTCAGAAACATTTGATGGTTTAAATTATGAAAATCCAGTTTATGGTCATACAAAAGTAATTTTAAGTCCAAACTTTGACTTTCTCTCGCTGAAACCTTCATTTTTCAGTTCTATTAGATGCTATTTTTTTCTGTCCCAACGATGTGATTTATCATACCTTTGTTAGGGTGTTCAGGCCATTGCTGATACAAAAAGAGGCAAAACACTCTGAAATTTTAAGATTATTCTCAGAAACCTTCCAGAAAGGTTTCTGAGAGTCTAGAAATTTCTTACTTTCAAAAGTCACAA